ACTTGGGGAAAGAGCCTGGGATAGCTAACGCAGCAGCTATTCTGTATGGGAGGCAGTTAGTGTGGAACACAGAGTGAATGTGGAGCACTGGCTGTATTTCAGTTAATGTCAGAGCTCATTTCAGTGCACCACCTCCAGATAGGCAAGCCATAAGGCTGCCAGCTGTGTGCAGTGAGCAGCTGTGTGGAATGGCACTGGCAAGTTTTTCTGTCAGTTTTCCTTCTTGTGGCCTAACTATCTGACAATCAAGCCTGTTCATTTACTTTAGGTGTAGCTTCCTCTTTGTATACCAACAGTCTGATGTTTTAATTACATATATCTAAATTGAAACTGATTTATAGGGTATCATTCATACATCAAATACACTGTCTTTGCAGATTATGATTAAAAAATGGTCGATCCCTTGCCCTCTACCTCTAAGTAGTGCCATAGAGACCTTACAGGTAAAGTGCATGCTGTTTTGAAGTTGTTCTAATTTTATTAGCAACTAAAGCTTTTTTTTTTAAAGATTAACACTTTCAGAATTACTTGTAATTTAAATTCCTTCTTCTCTTAATCATCACAGAAACTAAAAAGTTTCATATCTGTGGTTTGGGCTTGTTCTTTCATTATGCCATTTTTTTGCATGTATGTCTTTACAGGTTTCAAATTCTACTGGGGATTGTAAAGCAAAGGTCTTTCATCTTTCAAAAGAGGTAATCTGTATTAACAATATGCAAACTTAAAGGGGGGGTGGTGGTTTTTGTAGAATTGGGGTTTAAATTCTGTACGGGATAAGCTATTCTTCTGTAAAACTGGTTATAGGCTGCTGAAATATTTCCTATACCTGCTGCCAAGTGTTATCCAGTCTCACTATTTTTTTTATATGAAGGCTGGCTGTCCAAGTTAGCGTTTATGAAAACATTTTGTGAAGTATAAAGTATAACAGATGCAGCAGTGGTCAGCCTCATGATGCAGTCGGATCAAGCCAACTTAATATGCCCTCAGCGGAAGTCAGTGCTGTTTGGCTGTATGCACACTTTTAGTTCCTGGCAAGGTAGAACAGGTTTCCTGAAACTGCCTGGACCTAACCTTAGTTTTTTCTTACCTGAAGCAAATTCTTCAGGCCTAATGCAATCTTGTGCGTTTTGCTGGATGCCAGCTCTGGTATTTGTTGATTAATGTGGCATTTAAATCATGTCATCACCTATCAAGGCTTGCAGGAGAGGAAGTATCATGTAGAACCCTAGTCTCTGTGGGGTGAAGATGAAGGGAGAAAGGTAAGAATAAATCTGGCATATGCCTGTAGCATAGTGGAATTTAGGAGAGACACCGTTGCACTTCTCTGGAAAAAAAACCGAACAATCCCATCCCCACCCTCCCAAGAAAAAGCTGGGGGAAGTTTGGGCAGTGCAAACATGAGACAAATGTTTTCTATAGATGTAAGAAGAAATTTTACTTTGATCAGAAACATCTACCATGAGATTCTGGCCTTTTGTGCTTTGAAGAATCTTGGGAGTTATCTCTACTTCTTTAATTTAAACTTTATCTAGGAAGTGGCATATTTTTACCAGTGTGGGCCTGATCATACCAGCATGAATGTGTTTGTTATAGTTCAGCTTACTCCACTTGGCAGTTGAAGTAAGCTATAGTAGATGATTCATCTCTTTTATTACAAGTTTTTTGGAATAATTTACCACTAATTGTGGTGTTGCAACTTCATGTAACTATCTTAAAATTTCAGATGCCAAAGCATGTTATATTTTCTGGATGCTATATGCAAATTTTTGTTAAGGAGTAATAAGAAAAAAGTGAAATCAGGATGAAGGAGTCAGTGATTTGACAGGCAGCTATGGGTATTAGAATTTAGGAAACTTCTTAGAAAATTCCAGGAATAATTCACTGACTCTGGGGCAAATCCTACTCTTTATGTAAGTACTCTGCCTCCGTATAGCTAAAAAAGTCTTTCAGTTCTTAGTTTATATACAGCATGACTTCTGCTCCTGAAACAGTAAGCTGTCACCACCACTTGAAGAGCTACTAGTTGAAAAGGTCCATTTTTTTTTGTGGAATAATTCAGATGCCATTCTGTGTGGTGGAGATTTGTCTCAAAGCATCATTTTGGAGAGATGACCACTGACTTCAAGCAGTTGAACTGAATTCTGAATTCATCCAGATATTTTTATAACCATCTGTAATAACGAACAATCTACAAGATACTTTTCTTCTATTTTAGAGTGCTTATGCAATACCAACCATGGCCTTCTCTTTTCTCTGCCATACCTCAGTCTTACCCATCTATTGTGAGCTCCGAAGGTAATGTATGAGAACACATGCAATATATAAAATATGATAGTATTTCTGTAATATTTTCCCTAAATTAATCTTGAATAAATTTTATTTTCAAGTCACTGCATCAAACAATGCAAACTAAGTAGCTTTGATCTATCTGGGAGATGTACGGTTTTAGCCTGTACTGGCTTTTCCTCTCTTACAGGAGAGAAAAGTAGCAAATATGATTCCATCATCAATGTCAGTACATTGTCCTGGCCTGGACAGTTGGGAGAAAAAAAGGTCATTTGCTAAGGTACTTACTAGTTAATTTTTATTGCTGTAACTGAATCTGCATTTGGTCACATCTGATTCAGTGGGGTTTTTTTGACCAGATTCTCTTCCCACCTCTGAATATATGTCATCCTGTATAAATCAGAATTTTGATTTAAAAGATACTCTGGTATGTCTAAATTTCCTACAAGATGGGGATGGTGTTTATTGTCTCCTTTGAGACTGCTGTGAAAAGTGCCCTTTAATTGTCAGATTAAACATATTTTTAAAACCCCTAGATATTACTGACAGCACAGACCTCAGCAAATCCTCAGTTGCTATAAATTAAGACAGTGCTTTCTTATGAAGGGCAAGATGCTGTGTAAGTTGCATTGTGTTTAGTAGTCCGTGATACAGATTAAGCAACGCTAATTTTCTTTTGTGTGTGTGTGTTTTAGTCCATCCAAAAGTAGAATGCAGAATGTAACCATCACAGGAATTGGTCTGAGTTTCCTAATTTACTTTATGTCTGCTCTCTTTGGGTACCTGACATTTTATGGTAAGTATATTCAAGTATTCTTTAGAACGAAAGCTAATGATAAATGCATTCTGTGTGGAGTACTTTAGGCTTGTTTGTGCACTGATGTATTTGTGTACTGATATATTTCTTCTTTTGAAGACCTAAGAATATGCTGAACACTGGAAAGTGTTACAATCTCATTGACTTGCCAATGAGTAATGTAGCTAAACTTTGCAGAGTTTATGCCCTAAAAGGCTATACAGAAAGATAGTCATCCCTAAAGTGCAGCTGAGTGTTCATGTTCTCTAATGCTACGTAATTAGACTACTGATTGTCACTATATTGTTGGACTATATAGTATTGTCACATATTCTGGGAATGGATTTATTGTGATCTATGAGAAATTCTGAGAGCTGGTAGTAGTCTGCTCATCCACGAGGTTGAAAGGTCCATTCTAAGGCTGTTCTAGGACATTTATAACTTAATTAACCCTGTGATATCCTAGCACGTTTGTTGTCTCTGAAGCTGTTGCCTTTCATGAGAGGAATTTGAGTCACAGCAAGCTAGCCCTAATGTTAGGTAGGTGTGAAGGTTTGCAGCATGTTTTCCCTGTCTGATGCAGCTTGGGTACAAAGCATGTATCACTTTTGTTTTGTTTTTCTTTTTACAACTCAGTTGGAACTAACAGTAGCTATTTCACTAGCAATCTGCTGGAAACGGGGAGGGGGGGGCGGGAAATCCCACAAGTCATCCAATTGAGCAAAGCTGTATTTTAAAGGATTGCACAAAGTGACTTCTTCATGATACCTTTGTTTATGTGTAACATAAAGACAAACTAGAGAACTCCAGAAAAAAAATAAAATTACAAGGACTATGAGAAAATTAGAAGGTCTGAAGAAGGTGTGTGAAGACACACATACTTCTGTGTCTTGACTTCAGTGGAGGGCAATGACAGAAGATCGGGGAAGAATTTGAAGATTTAAAAGGATAAGCTTGGAGCTGGGCTTCCCAGCACATGCTCCTGGGCTTCAGTAAATTGTGTTGGTGCCTGATACATGAACTGAGCCAAGAAATGCACAGCTCAGAGAAGTTGTGGACACAGTGCTTGATGAAATAAATACACTTTTTTATTTACTAAACAGGAAAGTGAGTGGGGTGTAACACTTGCCCTGCCAGGTTCTATAGACATCTTTCATTTCTGTTTGCTGTAAAGTTTATGTGGCAGTGTGCTTCAGTACCAGTTCAGTAACTCTACATTTGGACTTCTGAATACTTCTGGGTACAGTTTCTTTTGAGTTTAAGCATAGATGACTTTGTCTGGTATTTCCCAAGAACACAAAGATTTTAGAACCCTTATCTACATAGTGGCCTTTTTTTTTTTTTTTTTTTTTTTTAAAGGTCTATCATAACGTGGGCAGAAGTAGGTGTCTATTTCATACAACAGTTTTGGTATTCTGTCACATGTCAGTGTGATGCCTTTCTGAAGAATTGTCATTTGGCTCTCACTATCCTGCTGA